AAGCGGTGAGGGGGGGGGAGCTGTGATTGACACTCCAGCAGACGCTCCTCTGGCTGTGATTGGTTGTTTTGACTCGTCCCGAATTATTCTTTCCAGATTGAAATACAGGCAGTAGGCGGGACCAATTGAAGGAGTTTTTTTCACAGGTTACATATCACATGTACTGCTGTCTGGGCATAGGGACAGTTTTAGCCAACATGACAAAAAAGTGATTTTAAAAACTTACAGACTTCAGCTTTAAGATAATAAATATACCCGTTATTTTTTCTACATCGTTGTGACATTTTGGCGATCTCGCAATCGCTAGTTTGTTGGCTCTGCGCTGCCGTAGCGCAAAGATGTCTGCCTCCATGGCTGCGAGACCCGCTCCTATGTAATTCTAAATAACGAATTCTAAGGCAACGCAAATATTAAGGTTAAGAGGCTGAGCTCATAGATGATGATAAAATAACATAGTTATGTATCATATATTAAATTTCTGACTGTATATCCCTGTAATTATTACACACTGTAGCTTTAAACCAATAGGCCAGGTAATGTGGATAATAACTACACAAAAACCAACGGTAACTCTAAAAGAGCTGCAGTTATCCACAGCCTAGTATAGTCTACTCTACAAACAGTTGGAAGAGGGCGCATTGGCCTAAACAAGGAATTACATACTCCTTGATCACACCATCCCCACAGTTAAGCATGGCGTTAGTAGAATCATGCTGTTTGAAGGATTTTTATTTCCACAGGGGTAGAGATACGGGTCAGAACTGATGGGAAAATTAATGGAGAAAATACAGGAGAATCCTGGAAGAAAAAACACTTAGACCTGCAAAACATGAAAAGAGTGGCAAAGGTTCCTCTTTTTCTTTTAAAAGGACATCAGGCAGAGCTACAGTGGATTGATCTTAATGAAAGAAAGCTTAGATTTTGAAAATCATATTTTGAAAATAATTTAGGCTGAAAAAGTTATAATAAAAAATGTGCAGCTTATTGCATCAACGTGTATTTCCACCAGGTTTTAAGTAATATGGTACCATATACAAAAAACATGAAATTTGTTCAGATTTTTTATTTTTCTTACCTTGCCCCACAGTTTTATGGGCATGCATTACTTTGTGTTGCACTGTCACTTTAAATCCCAACAAAATACATTAAAGATTCTGGTTTTAAGCAAAAAAAAAACATGGAAAACTTTACAAAGTATGAATATTTTCGGGGGGAAAAAAAAATATAAATATATATATATATGTAAATATATATGTATTCCCTTTTGTCACTGGTCACTGGTTGCCAGGTGCTTGGCTGGATGCTTCTATGCACGCTGAACCAGAGGAACCTGAGGTGTCAGGGGATACCTTCTGTTTTGATTATGCAGACGATATTTACAAGAACTTAAGGGAGATTGAGGTGAGTTTCTTCTTATGTAAATCGTTTAGGCCTTTTCAGTGCTTAGAAAGATTTGCTAAATCATGCTGGTTACTGATTCCAGAAGAGGTTTAGGGCAAAGCCAGGCCACTTGGAGAGACATCCAGAGATCACCGATGGTATGCGGGTCATTCTGGTGGACTGGCTGGTGGAGGTTGTGGAGGAATACAAGCTTAGTTGTGAAACTCTGCACCTAGCTGTAAACTACCTGGACCGGTTTCTGTCCAGCACAGCATTTATCAGGAGGAGCAAGTTGCAGCTGGCTGGAACAGTTGCATTACTGGTTGCCGCGTAAGAAGCATCCTTATTTTCTCTCCTTTACCTGTTTTATAAGGCAAACAGTGGTTGTAACTGTGATGCCACGTATGTTTTTTTTTTTAGGAAATATGAGGAGACATTTCCTCCTGAGCTGAATGAGTTTGTGTACATCACAGACTGCACCTACACCAAGAAACAGCTGCTCCGGATGGAAAGCCTTTTGCTGAAGGTGCTTGACTTCAATTTGGCAGCACCCACCACCAACCAGTTCCTTCGCCTGTTCATGTCGGTCCACTCTGTCTGTTCAACCACAGAGAACCTCGCTCTGGTGAGTTAAACAAATGTTCTTTCCCTCTACAGCAGAAACAGCCATCTCTACTCCATGTTTACTGCACTTTGGGGAGGTAATCATAACCCTTGAACTTTTGTCACATGTTGTCACATAACAACCAAAAACTTGAACTTTAGATATATTATCAAAACCATTCCTTTGTAGATTGTTGTAATGTCCCCAAAATGTGTATTTCCCTGCATTAAGCTTCGACAAACCCCCTCTCAGCTCTGACCAGTTTCTGATACCTGTGAGGGAAAAAAAAACACCCCATAGCATGATGCTTTCACCATCATGCTACACAGTAGGGCTGGTGTACAGTACTTACAATAAAATTGAATTGTATATTTTTATTACAAAAATTGTTTTGTAATATCTGCCCAAATGTTGAATATTCATTTTTGTTTCACTGGGGCACTTTCTCACTTACACTCAGTTAGTGTAATGTTGACAGTTTGGAATATGAAAATGAATAAACAATAACTCCTCGTGTGCAGTATGGTGCACAGTAGAAGGAGATGAGCAGACCCTATTTTCCTGAGGAAGCTGAGATCCTTCAATGTGTGCAGCAAGATGTTGAAGATCTTTTACCAGTCTGTTGTAGCCAGTATCATTTTCCTTGCTGCTGTGTGTTGGGGCAACAGCATCAGGCAGCGACACCAACAGACTTGAGAGAATCGCCAGGAGGGCTGGCTCTGTACTTGGACTCAGGCTGGAGTCTTGAGACTGTAGTGGAGAGGAGAACGCTGGATAAACTTTATCCATCTTAGACAATGATCAGCACCCTCTCCATCACACAGTGGTCAGACAGTGGAGCACCTTCTCTCACAGGCTGCTCCGCTTTTCAAAGGGGAAGATTGAGGAAATCCTTCCTGCCATTTTACTCTGTACAGTAAAAAAATAAACTCTTGTCTTGTCTCAGCATACAGTACCCAGCACTGTACTGTACTCCATGTTGTAATACATTATACATCATTGGTTCACTGCACCTTATACTTATTTTTACTTGCATTTTAACCAGTACTGTTTATTTATACAATTTTATATTGCATTTTTATTCTAAATACATCTAGATATTGTTTTACTTTTTACCTCATTGTGTTGTGACTGTCACTATGTGTAAAGATGCTGCTACGCAGCCATTTCCCAGCTTAGGATAAATAAAGTACATGTATCTATATTATTTGTATCTTAAGCTTTAAAAGGGTCATAGAATGATTACGCATGGCATTTGGTGCTGGTCCTTAAGGTCTCTGAATAGGGTGTGTAACATTGGTTGGGCTGAAAATGGCATATTTGCTGTTCTATGAGCCCTAATGCAAGCTTAGTTAAGAGCACGAGAAGGTTTTCTTCCTTTTATAGTATGCTCATGAATATTTAGATGAGTTGTGCGCTGGGGAAGCATACCGTCACTGGGTCGGGTCCGGTAGCTCGGTCCCTGGCCGCCGGGGTTCCCGGACCAGGCCCGGAGCTCACGGCTCGGTTCGAATGCCTGGTCTGGTCCAGTCAGCAGCCCATCAGTGGCTTGTCTGTCTGTCAATTTCGAGGTGTGACAAAAGTACAGGCCAGAACCAAATAAGGCAACATCCCTGAATCGACGTCAATTCGGTGCTTTGCTTAAATTCGCCCATTTTATTGTGGAAGTTTAGAATTGTGAGATTTGCAGAGAAAGGAGGTGTTCATGGGATTTCACCCACTGAAATATTGCTATTCATCTATGACAATGTAAACTTGGTTTTGCATTCTATGAACCCTTACAGATTCCATCATAAATTTTGCAGCAAAATCAGTTTTCAAATACTTTACATTGTCAGATTCATCGTGAAAAGCATGAGTCCTTTACCTTCCGCTGCCAACTTATAATTTATTGTCTTGATCTTTCAAATACAAAGAAAAGACTAAGAGGTTCATGAAGCAAGGTACTGCATATTTTAACCTTTTCACTACTTCCAGTATATTGCAGAGCTAAGCCTACAAGAAGCTGATCCCTTCCTGCGATACACCCCATCCATACTCGCAGCTGGAGCCTACTGCTTAGCTACCTACACTGTGAGCAAATCTTACTGGGTGAGTTGGACCAGATAATTCTGTTTTTTTTTTTCTTTTCTGGTTAAATGTGACCAATACTTTTCTTTATATTTATATATATATATTGTATTTCAGCCTGGTTCTTTAGTTGCCTTTTCTGGGTATACCATGGAGGAAATCATTCCCTGCCTGAGTTATCTTCACAAGTTGTACATCAGTGCAGAGAGTTGGCAGCAGCAAGCGATCAGGGACAAGTACAAATCTACAAAGTAAGGGGTTGTAGAAAGTTTTTTTCAGAAGGAGTTAGAAACTTTACAAAATATTTTGTGTCTTAGATTGCCATCTCAATTGTTAATGAATTAAGGAAATGTTTTTTTTTTTTTTAAATACACCCTTTGTCTGTCTTGTATAGGTTTTGTCGTGTTTCAGGCATCCCCCCGCCTGCTGCTTTGACTCTCCTATGATTTGATCTCTTCACCACTCTAATCCTCCCAAAAGAACCTAGTTACTTACCAGCACAGTATAAACAAAGCTAACACTGCTTTAAGTCTTCTTTACCAGACTTGAAGAAGGCATAAAGCAGGTACCTGTATGTAGACTCAGTTATTTTTAGCTTTTTCTTCAAACAATACATAGTTACGTTGAAACTGTTTAGATAGCACAGTTAATAATTGAATCTCCTTCAAGATGTACATGGATGTAAGTTTAGAGTGTTGAATAAATAATTTTGATTTCAACTACAACATGAAATGTCTTGTTCTTATAGTATTTTCTTTGTATAATTTAGTTATCAGGACAGTAATATATTTTCCTTTTATATTAGATTGTGTGATAATGTAGGTTTCAACAGGTATCTCACTTTAAAATATGACCTTTCCATCCATCCATCCATCCATCCATCCATCCACCCATCCATCCATCCATCCATCCATCCATCCATCCATCCATCCATCCATCCATCCATCCATCCATCCATCCTCTTCTTCTTATCCGGGGTTGGGTTGTAGGGCTAGCAGCTTCAGTAGAGAGGCCCAGACGTTCCTCCCCCCAGCGACTTGGGCCAGCTCCTCCGGGGGAATCTCAAAGCATTCCCGGGCGAAACATATTCCCTCCAGCGTGTCCTGGGTCTCCCTCTGAGTCTACTCCCAATTGTACATGCCTGGAACACCTCACAAGGCAGGTGTGCGCACCTCACAAGGAGCAGCGACTCTCTGCGGCTCTCCGCAGGAATGAGCTCCTCACCCTATCTCCAAGGCCGCTTGTATCCGGGATCTCAGTCTTTCGCTCATGACCCAAAACTCATGACCATAGGGGAAGGTAGGAATGTAGATCTGTGAGTCCTTCTGGTAAATAATAGAAGTTTTAGTTCTTTAACCTTAAAAGGTATATGTATTAAATACAAGTTAAAACTTACAGAACATTAATGTATTACCTGTAAAATCCAAGTGAAACATGCAAACAAAGGTAGTTGTTTGTTGGGTGATGACGTTTGTCATGGTTTTAGAGTTTCACTATATTGTAGAGCTTTTGTCTGAATTCAATTTCGCTATTTTGATTGATGCTCCTCCATTCCTGTTGAGCAGAACAGAGGTTGTAAAATATTTAAGTTGCTCTGATGTGACCGCTGTCACATGTAAGTTTGTTTTAACGATTTTACTTGTTTTTCACAATTTTTTTTTATCAAACAAAGAACTTTTTTCTATGCATAAATAAAAAAATAATCAGTTAAACAAAAAATAATCTATGTTAAGTAAATCTTGAAAATAACCAAACACTTGCTCTTTGAAATGTGATTATACAAATGCATTGCACAAAAATGTACAATGAATCTTGTTGATCCTATTATTTTGTCCCCACAAATATTAATTATTCAGCTCAGACTCTGGGTGCACAACATTTGTTTCCTGTTGTGGATAAAAGTGCAAAAGGTGAGTGTGGTTACACACATTTTCAACCAAAGCATCAGCTGGGACATTACGGGGGCTGAACAAACCATTCCCTCCTTCTAATCTGTCGTTCCTTTTGATGAACCACATAAACCCACTGCCCTACAGAACAGACACAGTAGTTTCTGTTAATACGAGGTTTTACATTTTATGGGTTAATAAACACACAAATTTCCCATGGGTATTAATTTATAGTCAACTCAGATATGTGTGGGAAAGTGGTTGAGCTAAACTAACATTAAAAGAACCAACCAAAGGGAAAATACCTACAAGTGCCTAGGAGAAATAATTCAAAAATACAAAGAAAATGGAAATTAACTAGTATGGCAACACTTTATACAACAAAGAGGAAATTAACTGAACATGGAAAAAAGCAATGAGGAGATGTTAAAAACAAAGACGATCAAAAACAAAACCGAAGAACCTAAACCAGGAGTCACCAACTTGGTGCTCACGGGCACAAAGGCAAGGCAAGGTAAATTTATTTGTATAGCACAATTCAGTACAAAGACAAAGTGCTTTACGTGATTAAGATATAGGAAAATAGAGCAGAATAAAAGCATGTAGAAAAAAAAAAAACATAAATAATGCCGAAACGAAAAAGAACATTAAAAACAGTTGGACTAAAGAAAATTAAAAAATTGAACTAATGATGTTTCAGTTGAACAGTTTAAGGGCCCCTCAAGGAGCACATGGGTAGAGTCTTAGTTGGAAATTTAAATATATTCTGTTGCTCTTCTTTTTTAATCATTCATAGAGCATTTCAAAATCACAATGTCTAAAATAAAACAAATTAAAAGAAACATTAAAAATTTGCAGTTCATGGGTCAGTATTGGTAGCCCTTCCTATGACTCACTACCCTTGAAGTGGCCCTAAGCCTTAATAAGGTTGGTGACCCCTGAGCTACTGTAAACCCATGTTGATCATAACAGTGACTTTAGCTCCAACTGGCCGTATGAAGTGTAGAGAAACCTAGCTCTTGGTTTGAAATATTTGATAAATTCTTGACTTTATGTTAGTGTGCCACATCATACACTTGCTATTTTACAAATGTTGTAGTATTTTCATCTAAACTGCCAAAGTGATTGGTTTGTAACTTGAAACAAAGTTATGGTTTATCAGCAATTGAAACTTAGGTCAAATAAATGGGCATTTGAAATAAAGTGCACAAGTTTACAATATAAAGCATTAGGCTTACTAAATATAAAAAAACATTTAAATCATTCCAATATATCCGCAAAAACACTGGAAATATTTTTAGACCAGAGGGGTGGAAATTATATCTATTTCTTGTTAATAAAAGTTAAACTTGACATTTTTTTGGTGAATTCCAAGCCAGCATTAGTACCATACTCCATAGTGTATGCGTGACACAAAGCCAATGAGGGCTGAAGCTGACTTGACGTCAGTGGGAGGCGTTAGTGGACAGGTGTGGTCCAACGTGTTAACAGAATGGGAAAGATTTTCACCAATATGTGAGAACCGAAAGAAATGTTTAAAAACTAATTAGATGTGTCTGTTTTTTAAAGTCCTTTGCAAGTAGTTTATCAGTTTCTGTATGTTTCTTTTCTTTCATCGGTCTATAAATAGCCTCATTCGCAGGTGATGTGGTCTGTCTTTCTGGATTAACCAGTTATGTTCCCCAGCCCAGAAATTTAACCCTACAGCTGACAACAATACATCTGTGACTCACCCGTTCTTCACGCCCATTGCCTTAATATTGCCGTCAGTCTGTTGGAGTGAATTATTTAAAACTGACGTGGAAACCTCCAACTACCCGCTTTTGGTTTTCTTTTTGAAAGGTAAGGAGTAAAAGTTTTATTGCTTCTAATTTCAAGCTTACAGAAATACAAAGCCATATTTTAATAATAAATCAGCTGTAGCTTCTTTAGAGGGTCAATAAAAAGGTATTTTGTTTAAACTGTCTTCTTAAAATGTTGGGTTAATTGGATTAATTTCACAATAATACATTTCAGGTATTGCTTCTTTTTAATTTAGAGGATTATCTCTTACTGATAATGAAAAGCCAGATTTTCACTTCTTAGAAAACAAACATATTACCTGAAAGCAATAAATGATGATATAGTTTGCATGGAATGTATTTAACACTCAGTTCTTAGAGTGTGTGGAGGCACTACAGACAAATCTTTTTTAAATCTAATAATATGATAAGTGCAATTCATTTCCTCCTTATTTCTGTTTTTATTTTACTCTATCTTCCATAAGTATGTGTTGATTCAGTTAACTGTCAACTTCCTTAGTAATGATAGTGGCTAGTCAAGTCGAAATTAACTATAATGCTTACAGCAGAATTCAGTTTTAAAACAAATATTTTTTGGTCTTCTGTAATATAATAAAAATACTCCAAGTAATAACAAATAACAGGGATATATTTGAATTCTTTCCCAGTATGAAGTCTATGAAATATGAGTTTTACATTTTTTGATAGACTAATTTATTGGGACACATCCATGTCTGTATATTTTAGGACATTTTTTTCCAGTATTTTCAGGATTATATATCATCTTATTTACTATTTACTTTTTTATTTTCCAGCATGGCAGAGCCTGCAGAACTGCTGGTCATCAAAGACCAGTATGAACTGGCCCAACAATCCCTGGATCTTGGATTAATGGCAGAAGAGGCTGACAACAAATCAGGTGCTCTGATGTTCTACAAGAAGGGTCATCTTCATCTTTCTCAAGGATTGGAGATTCCCACTGGAGGGGAAAGGCACAAAGGAGAGGCCTGGGAGAAGGCCAGGCAGCTTCAGCAGAAGATGAAGGAAATGTTGGCAACTATCGATACACGCCTGTCTGTTCTGGAAAAGTCCACAACGGGATACACAAATGGCTCATTGTTGGATGGTCCTCTCAATCTTTACCCCAACTTGGCAATTACCGGCCAGCCCACCAATAGTTCTGTTCACCATTTGTACCCAAACATACCAGATACGTCCCAGAGTGAATCGCCAGCCCCTGTCAGCTCTGTGTCTCCTGCTGTCCTGGATGCACACACACTGCCTGCAGCAGATGTGGAAGCTGTGGCCATGGATAGCTCAGCAGACCTGCCTCCAGCTTACACATCAAAGCCCATGGATGGGCACCATAGCCTGGCTTATGATCCTGCTGGAAGCGCCGTTTGGTCAGGGGAGCCACCAGATGAGAAGGAGCTGCTGCTGATCCCCTCTGGGGTGCAGCTTTTCTTTGTCGAACCAAATGGTCAGGTCAGCTCTCTATCTAATCCGGGTTACCTCCGCATCGTCACGGTGGATAATCAGCAAAGTAATTCCAGTGCTGGAAAACCGGCTGCATTGTTACATGTAAGTTAAAGGAAGAGCCCATATTTGTTTAGACGGATGTTCAGGTGTTTGTCTACCAGATAGATAGGCACGACTGCAAACAAACCAAAATATTTTAATCTCTGGAATCTTTACAGTATGATTCAGGAAGTTGTTGCCTTTGTTAAAAAGAAAAAAGAAACAGCTACAAAGTAATATTAGCCTCAAAATTTATGCTGAGGATTTCTTAAATCACCATAACATTTTGGTCTAAGATCTAATGTAATTTAAGCTGCCATGATTTCTTTAAACGGTGACAGAAAAAAATATTTTACAATGTTTGTACCTTTATTTTTAATATCAGTAGATGCTATCTGATTTGTAATCCAACTGATTTTCTAATGGTTTTTCAGTGTTACATCTGCATTCCCCTTCTTTTGTGGATGCCTCATTTCAATACTCTTCAAAAGTTGTTTAATCATAGAATTGAACCAGTAAAATATCACATATTAAACCTCAACGATGAGTAACTCTTTGAAATACTTTATATCAGTTTATAGATTTGGCAGAATATCCTCATATCTGTTTGATTATTTTTTGGTTTAATACCATATAAATATCTATTCTCGCATCTCTACAAAGCGAGCATTGTACTGTGCTTTGTGTTGCACTGCAGCCAATGACTTTACTACCCACCATGGCAGGCTGGTTCTGGGCCCGCTTTGTTTCCCAGTAAGACAATGGTCTTATTAACAGATGACTCTGCGCTTCTGTTGTGCTGCCGGTTAGGCTCCTGTGTCCCTGTTAGGGTCATTCTAACAAATCTGCATGCCAATGTGACAGTATGGAGCCACAAGTTTGAGCAGTCTGCCTCTGGTGAAAATTACACATATTTTGGGGCCTTGATAAGAAATAGACTCACCAAACCTAGAGACGTACCTGTATTAAAGTGATTCTATCTCTTATATATTTGATAGGCTATATAAAAGGAGATATTTAAAAGAAAACCAGGAAAAGCAAAAATAAAAATCATAATTCCCTGCTGTGCATTAGATTTGAATAGAACTAAATAAAACAGAAAATCTTTCAAAAATCCTGCCGTGGGGAATTACCAGTGTACCAGCAGCAACTGAAAGGCCTTTAGTGCAGATGTATTTGAATAAATGAATAGATAAATGAAAAAAAGACGAAAGTGGAGGTAAAGTGAGGGCAATTTTAAATCTTCCCAAAACAACGGGCCATTTAGCGAAAAAAAAAAAAAAAAAAAAAAAAAAAACAGCAGGAAAGGGAAACCTAGTTTTTTAGGATGAATGATGGTGATAAAATTCTTAAAGCTGCTGGGAGGAAGGAGCTGTGATAATGCTATTTTGGGCAGTTAGAATCAAACATGCTGTAGCAGCAATTCTTCATCTCCCACTACCTGCACTTGGCTGAGGACACGTTCCAGGGCAACTTTGACCTTCCAATTTATGAAATGCAATGAATAGGGTTTTGTGTAAATCACTTAAATAAGTTTCAGCATAATTTTATAGAACCCTGCATAGCTTACCTTGCATATATATTTCCTGTGCCTTTGTTTTTCAGGTGTGCGACCGTCTGTATCCTCTCACAGCAGAAACTCCAGTTCTGCTAGCAAACTCTGGGATCTTCATGTTTCCTGACTGCTTAGCAGAGATGCCTGGCTGCTATGTGGGTGTGGTGTTGTCCTCTGAACTGCCTGCTGCAGACCGTGAGATGTTTCAGGACCTGCTGATGCAACTTGCCGATTTCAGGATCCAGGTCAGTCTTAATTAATCATAAAAAATAATATATGGATGGATGTGCAGAGTGGTGGGAGAATAACACCTGTGCGGAGTCTTAAACCTTCTCTCACACTAATGTTGTGTGAGAGAAGTTTCCCAGAAAAATTAATTCTCCACATCAGCATCAAACTTCTATCTGGTGCTTTTCTAGAACCAAGTATAATACTTTGGATTTTCTTTTTTTTTTATCCTATCCTTATTATGCGCCAAAAATGTGCATACAACAATTTTTAACATTATTAATATGCCTGCAATTCTTATCTACTATTCTCACAAATTTTATTTAGTGTCTATTAATAAGCCTTGAACATTTTCTCATATTTTTAGGATACATGCTTTAAAATATGCTTACAAATGCTTTCAAATTGGTTATAGCCTCATTTTAATTGAATACCTTTAAGAATGTGCCTCAGTGTGAACGATCATCTACCATGAAAAACTAGGTTTGAAAAAGATGGCCAAAAGGAATGACAAATTTGCTATTTTTTAGTAATACCCTGATAACTATATTAAGTGTTTTTTATTATTTTGATGGGTTGGATAACTCAGTTTTTTAGTTATGAAATTTAAGAGTGAAGGAAGTTGTTTTCATTTTTCACTAGATTGTTAAAGCCAAGTGTAAAGTCACAATCTTAAAAGTATAATGCAGTTTTATAACTCATGTTTAAAGATTAGGAGATTGATGTTTCTAACAGGGAACGGAAGGTGCTGAAGGAGAAGTCATGGACTTGACTAATAAAGTCCCCCTCAGTCCTCTCCATGGGCAAACACATCTAACAGCACCAGAGGCGGAAAAGGTAACGCCTTTACTACCTGGGTGGAGTGAGAAGATGGGTCAGGGAATCTTGTCTGGTGAGTTAAAAAAAAACAGGTTTTTGAAGTATTCCTAGAAGTCATTACATAACTAATTATGCAGAGGGTTACCACAAATCTCCACTAGGAGGTGCTGTTACAGTGTGCGTTTGGACCTTTGGTCAGCAGAAATTACAATCCAAAGAGCAATGTTTGCTCTCAGACAAGTAACTGAAAATGATTATATAACTTTGAATATTGCATGTCTTTATGAAAAACAGATGTCTTAAAATATTGATTAATCCTTGCTATAGAAAATGTGTTGTTTGTACTTTTTTAAATTAAAGTCTTGTTATTAAACAGAAACCATATTTAACACAGTTACAACAGAAGTAGTAAACATTTTCCATTATCTTTTCCTCAAAACATACTCTTCTGTAAGAATGGAGCCATAATAAGGAATATAAATATATTAATAATAAAATAAAATCGACATGTTAATAAAAAAGGTTAAGCGATATCATCGTCATCTATATTTTGGTCATATTTAGGGCAAAATAGTGTAGAGGGCAATTGAGCTGAATGTATTAGAGAGATGGTTTAGTGTTACAAAGCATGTTACCATACATAGCAATGTATGAACAAATGTACAACTGAAGTTTAAGGAATATTTCTAAAAAAAAAAAAAATAAAAAGTTTCTAATACCACCTAATTTTGGACAAGTCCAAAACATATGTAGTGAAATAGCTGGCTCTTGTCCACCCAGATCACAAGTTGAATTATACTCAAGTCCTGTTTTTGACCAGTGGAAGCCATAAAAAAACCTTAAACTGAAAAGCCACGTGTTTAAGAGATAAGTGAAGAATATATTCTGTTAATTTTCCTATGCTAAATATCAGCTTCTATCTAAACATCCAAATTTCTTTCCATTTGTTCCTTTAGTAAATATGGTGAGAGCAATTTAAAGTAACAAACAAAACATAAAACATGCTTGCATTCCTATTTAAGATCAAGGATATAGTTTAAAATAGAAAAAAAGGCAAATACAGAAAACATAATGAAAAGGAATAAGGTTTCTGAGTTCTAAATATGTGAAGCGTGTATTTTTGATACAGAATATGTACAAAAACAATAAAAGTTTTGCAAAAAGTGAATGGATTCATTTAAAATTACAAGATGTTAATACTTGTGGAAAATTAGACAAAAAATATATTATTTCCAAACTAATGATTAAAAAGAATGGATCTAAAATATGCAATTAGAACTTTTGTTTTTCTGTTGTATAAATTTCATGTCATTATTCTATTAAAAAGAAAAATGCAAACATTTTCATTTATTATATTGATGTTTAAAACATTTGTTTTAGCCAGCGATATAAATAATCACTGCTGAATATCCAAAGAGCCCCCTGTTGCTTAGGTGCTTTTGTTTGAAGTCCCTTGGTCTAGTTTCTGATTTTATAGTATTCAGTGTAGAAAAAAATATTATAGTTTATTTGACGTTTTTGTGCAGTAACAAAGCCAATGTTTATACTTCTGCAGGAGCTACTAAGCTAAGTCAGTCATTAGCAAAAGGAGCAGAGGCCACTGGAAATATGATTCAAAAAGGAGCTGCAAGGATCCGGGAACGCATCACACCAGAAGAGACCCCATCTGAGGTCAGTCCAGGGGTCACCAAAAGTCTGAATGCTACTCAAAAAGCCACTGGGGGGGCTGTTCGAGTGAGTAAATTCTTAGGTAAGAGCAAGCAGACAGATGTTACTGACAAATAAGACTAAATCCTTTTTTTCTCTAGTTTGAGTGTGTTTTTCTCATTTTTTAAAAACCATTTATTCTGATTGGTGAATGGAAGTACATGTGTATCTAAATCTATTCCTTTTGCATAACTTTGCATCATACAGTGGATGGGATAAGCACAATTGCAGGACATGTGGCAGAGAAGGTAACACCTCATGTGAAGAAGCACGGTGCTAAGTTAGTTCCAGAGTCTCTGAAAAAGAAGGAGGATGGCAAGGCTTCAAACCTGGACGGAGCCAAGTTTGTGGCAGCCAGCAGTATACAAGGTATTTACTCATTTCTAGAAGATAAACTAGACTAGTGTGACATGGGGATATTCTCTAGCACCTTTGTTTAGAAATCAGAGCATATCCATAAGATGGTTTGATATGGTTGGTGTGTAATAAAAAAAAAATCTGTTTTCATATTAGGTTTAAGTGCTGTTTGGGAATGTCTAGAGACTGAAGCAAAACGCATATGCAAAAGTGTTGCTACTGAAACTGTCACAACAGTAAAATACAAGTAAGTTCACATTTTACCCTTAATGGTTTTTTAAAATGTATCTTCTGAAGTCTTGCATGCATTACTATATCTTCGTTTCCCTTCTTTATTCCATTGCCTTTTTAAACTAGGGATGTCCCAATCGAGATATTTTGTTGCATCTCACACTAATCTAAGTTATTTAGGGATAGAACTTCATCAATAGGGGACTTGTTTGGATTTTTTATGAATTTTAATGACATTTTTATCAGAGGTGTCCCTCATGCCAAGGAACAATCAGTTAAATGTTGTAGATGATCCAGATCATGATCTGGACATAGGAATGTTTTTAAAGATTATCTGACGTTGTGAGAATATTGAGGCATATTTAGCAGAATAAGCAGTACCCAATTAAACCAGAAGGTGGCAGCAGTGACTATTGATTGAAGACAAAAACACAAGAAAAGGGAAAGATGTTGGTTTGTTAGCCAGATCAACTGAAACCTTATAAACAGATTTTATGGGGGGAAAATTTTTTTGCAGAGGTGCGTCTCATGCCAAGGAACAATCAATTTAAATTTTGGTAATGATCTAGATCATGTGAGAGGTTTAGCTATAGGTGCAAGTCACAATTTGGGGAAAAATTTGCTTGGTGGAGGTGTGCGCTCTCTGAGTGCTTTTCTAGTTTTTAGCTGTTCACTTTTGTTTCAGAGTGACAGACTGTTTCAGCCTGGCTTACTGCAAGACAGCCTTATGTTTCTAGAAGTAGGTTGCATTAATTTAACTCGGAACTGCAAAGTTGGAGTGACGTAATCTTCTAGATGAGACCAGTTAGTGTTTTAGTTGCTTATGAGTGGAGGCCAGTATTCAGTTTGTCAATATAAACAGCATTGGAACATCTAGATTTACGAACGTGTAGAGGTAATACTTGTACAACTGATCAAAGGTTAAAAAGGAAATAAAGAACTACTAAAATCAGTAAAAGTAGGAACGTTTAACGATTGGCGATACATTTTTAATCACCTTGGACAAACAGGGGAATTCCAGTTAAAATATGCTATTTGGAGGTTGGAAATTATAACTTCTGAGAACAAGTGGGACTTATCATTATATCTCTTTTGAGAAAGGAAGACACAGTCTTGAATTAAATAAGCCATATAGATAGATGGATTGAATTACTTATTGATGCTTTTATTTAATAAGCCAAAGAAACTTCATTGAGATTAAAACCTTTTTTCCGAGCATGAACCAGCCAAGACGGCAACTTGACTGTTACAAAAAATAGAAATACACAGGCATAGATCACACAGAGAAAAATTATCATTTTACAAAATGTTGACACAACATTCAGACATGCTTTTTACCCAGCCATTTCTAAAAGATCAGAATTCCCTCAATGATAAAAAAGAAATCTCAATTTTAAGTCCTTCTACACATTATTCCAGGTTGCTGGGTTAACAGAATTCAAAATCCTTTTTGACTCTCAGAACCTGCATCAAGACGATACCCTGAAAACAAAGGCCCTATTGATTAAAGTTTCCACACATATGCTTGCATTAATATGTAGGCAAAAGTCCTAAACTAGCTTTGCAGATGAAAGTCAGGCAGTGGGAGTCTATTCCTTCTGCTGACTGTTTTAACTCAGGGCTGTTAGCTAGGACTGGTTTGGTTTGTAACCAAATTGACCATTTATGAGCCTACAACAAACTAAATACATCAAACTGCATCAGGCAGTGCCATGCCTCATGGAATTTCAAAACTCTGATTTTATATAGCTGCTCAGTGATGCAGTGGGTGGCCTTGCAGCAAGAAGGTTCTGAGTTTGATTCCCGGCCCGGTGTCTTTCTGCATGGAGTTTGCATGTTCTCCCTGAGCATGCGTGGGTTCTCTCCGGGTACTCCAGCTTCCTCCCACAGTCCAAAAACATGACTGTTAGGTTAATTGGCTTCTCTAAAATTGTACTTAGGTGCTAGTGTGTGCATGAATGGTTGTTTGTCCTGTTTGTCTGTGTGTTGCCCTGCGATGGACTGGCAACCTGTCCAGGGTGTACCCTGCCTCTTGCCCATTGACAGCTGGAGATAAGCACCAGCAACCCTCGCAACCCCACTTGGGATTAAGCGTGTAAAGAAAATGGATGTATGGATGATTTTATATATCAATGAAATAAAAGGCACAGCCTATAAAACAGGTTTAAATGTGTTGCAGTGAAATCTCAGCCCACGTTTCTAAAAAGAAACAACTGTTTTTTTAGAGGAGCAAATTTTACAAACATTGCTAGCTAGAGGTGCTTTAGAAAAAAAAAGAAACGGCTTCAACTTCATTGACCTTCAGCTTATATAGTTGGGGTTCTGTCTTCAGAAGGAATTGTGATGTTTTCAACTACTAACCCCAAAAATATGACTTCAGATACAAAGAGTTGAGTGAGGGACACTAATACTGATTATTATTATCATTAACTTCCTAGATTGTGACATCCCTACTTTAAACATCAATAGAAGACATGTTTAATAACCTCTTTTATAATTGCCTGCTACTATCTTTCTTCTTGGTATGCTGGTGCACTGACTTTCCCTCACTGTTGTTTCTTTTCAGATTTAGGGGTTTAGAGAATTTTATAAACATGTCTGGCAAGATATGAGCACACTGGGAAGTAAAGGCCTGTCACTTTGAATTAACTGATCTGTCTTTGAATCTGATCTTTGAATCTGTCTAGTTTTGCTTTTACTAAACCCCACACAAAACTGGTGTAGCACAAAATAAATGTGTATATCGTCAAACTTCTTTTCCTATGCTTATTTTCACATAAACTATGATTTTCATTGACTGTGGAATTGCTGTGGCTCTTTTTGCATAGGCATCTAAATGGCTTGCATTGTACTGTACATGCCCTGCTTACTAGTGATGGGTTAATGAGGCATCTGGAAGCGTTTCGACACATTGCCAAACTGTATTGATACTGCGTTGATACTGTCTCACAGAATACTGATACCTGCTGGACCTTTAAAGACACAACAGGCAGCTTTTATTGACTAAACAGAATTTATTTGATGGTCTAGTGAAATTATATAATTTAGGTTATTGTAGGTTATATTCTATTATTTCATATCTATGTTTAAATTGAAAATATATTTGATATTTTTACATTCAGCCCATAAATAATGTAAACATATAACGTAAAAAATTTAGGGGAAAATGTGAATGAGGATGCTTGTGGACTAGGTTTTTAAATCATGATTTTAAAACGATAAGTGCAGTGAAAACAGTAAATAAACTAAGAGTCATTTGAAATGAACTTTAATTCAGATAAGCTGAGTGATAACATATGTGTGACACAATGAGAAAATTAAAATAAAAACGCAACGGCTAAAACGTTCCTATTCCTTTTAGGCTGCTCCAAAATTCTTGATCATTTTAATGATAAACCGCAAAAATTAGACCTTTTTTTTAGCAGATGCATCATACTGACAGATACGCTTTAAATACAGTTTAGTGTGTCTATCAGTTAGAAACAAATCCTGTATCGGTCACATGACTTTCTTGAAACGAAACATGCACCGATGCAGTGTTTTGCTCTATGTTCTTGCATTGGTGTTGCTGGACCCATCACTACTGCTTACTAATCAACGCAACCTGATATGTGTAGTTTTCTGTTTCAATCAAAATTATGATATATATATACACTTTTCTAAAATATTAAAAGATCTCTGAGATTTCGTGTGCTTTATTTATTTTATTTTTCATCACACTCTTCTCTCATACCCTATAAATGTTTATGATGAAGGTATGGCGACGATGCTGGCCAAGCCACAGACACAGCTCTCCGCTCAGTGGGCAATATTGGTTTGACTGCACATAATATTGACAATTTGGGATTGAAAGCCTTCTTGAAGACTACTGGCAAAGAGACTGCCAAGGCCATGTTCGTAAAACCCGAGGATGAAGGAAAAGAAACTGAAAAGAAGAAGTTACGAAAAGATGAACACCCTGTTCAGGCTGAGGAGAAGCAAGTGAAGAAAGAGGAGGCACCAACCAAGGAAAAGGATGTGCAGAAGGAACAAATGGAAAAGAAATAACAGATTTTTATTAGCACTAATGTTTTATTTGATGTTTTATATATATATATATATATATTTAAAGGAATATTTAAGGTATTGTGAGCTGAATTGTGTTATTATTATTATGTTCGAAGTTATGCTTAGCAGTGACTTTGGCTTCGGTGAAAGAGTTGCCTTGCAATCTAATTGTTTTGGGTTGTCTTCAGCTACTGTCTGCCACATGTGCCACACACTTAGCCCTCAGGGCTTCATGGTGTGCATATCTGCATGAATGTGTGTGTGTTTGTGAGCAGAATTGGCTGTATGTAATGTAAAATTACTTAACATGTCATTATAAATGGAAACGTCTAGAAAAATTCAGTCTATTTTCTGTTTTGTCTTGAAATCTTCCCTAAGCTTTACATTTGGTTTCTCTTTTACAGTGCCGTCAATAAACATCCTTGCTCGCTTACCTATTGCCTCTGTTTTGCAAGGCTGAGATTAGTTCCACTTGTCATTCCTGATTACTATCGAGAATGCAAAATAAATAAATAAATAATAAAGAAACAATTTAATAATCTGTCAGACAAAACCAAATAGACTTAGAGATAAAAGCAAGAAGCAATACGCTGACTGAACGAATTCAAGAAATGGGAAAAAAAAGTAGTCCAACTATATGTCACGATCTTGACACTGATAACTGGATTATTAGTTCATTCTTGCCACTTACTTAACTGCGTCCATTTTTCATTTGCTTTCACCTTATCCACACTAACGTAACCCAAAGGCCTGGCCTGTGCTTACCATAAAAAGGCCAATGAGCTCCAAGACTTTTAGGAAAACATTTATAATACAATGATAAAGAAGTGAATTACTTGTGGAACTTGAGCATCATTTAGAGGCAGAAAATCAATCAAATATAAAGTATGGTGGTGGCAGTGTGATGGTCTAAGGTGGCTTTGATGCTGCAGGACATAGATAACTTACAAAAATGAATGTCACAGCTAATTCCGTTCTCCTCCCACCAAAAATTAGCCTTCATAAGTGAGTCATTGTGTGGAGTTTAAGCCAGGTGGCAACTCTTTACTAACTAAGAGGCAAAAGTGCTCTGATGGTGAATTGGAGCTGCAACTTATTTGAACTTTTTCTTCCATTTAGAAGAGGGTCCTTCCAACACTCGGAAAGAATGCCACAGCTCTTTGCCATTTGTATTCTCCATTACAACATTTTAGAACTAACATCTTAACTAAAAGGGTCCTCACTAAATTTACATCTCTGTTGTATAATGTCTCCCTCCCCATGCATAAAGCTGTTGCTGAAGTGGAAAGCTCCTTCAGTGATAGACTGCTGCACCCAAAATGCACCAGGGAGCATTATCACAGATCCTTCCTCCCAGCAGCTGGGAGACTCTATAACCATCACTGTTCACAACCAACCTCAATAAATTGTTACATTCATGCAGATTTTTGCAAAATTTCTGTCTTAGTAAGTAAAATAACATGCTGCTGTCATTTTGAACATCTCTGATGTTGCTGCTATTTTGAAATATCCATTACTGTAAAAATGTCCACAGCTGTATATTTGTTATTTGTTTTCTAGTTGCACAGTATTTCTATTATTAAAACACTTTTCAGTACAGTATTTTATTTGTTTATTTATTTAATTTCAACCGTTCAGTTATTTCTATACACTTTTCTAAGGTCTACATTTGTGTGACCACTTTTGATATACTTTTTGCTGCTGTAACTGTAACACCACAATATCCCCATTGTGGGACAATAAAGGGATTTTCTATTCTATTCTATTCTATTCTATTGTATTCTATTGTATTCTATTCTATTCTATTAAATTTTTTTATATACTTTCAAGGATAACGTTGTGGTGTGATTAATTTAAATATCTTAAGGAGCCCGCCAGTCTTGCTGAATATTGAGCGCCCGGTCTGCTGCACGCGGATTTGACCAATTGGGAGTGACAAGCGAGCATTTCGGTATAGATTTATTCAGACTACACGAAGTAAAAGGCAAACTTTAACCGATCAGTCTCAAAATAAAAGGAAATAAAATAAAAATAACAAAAATTGCAAAAGTGGCAACATTTAAAGTAGGTTAATTTAAACCTTGCTGAGGGTGGGGTGGGAGGGCGAAGCCTCCGTTTACGGGCCCGATCCGGAAATGTCGGTTTCCATGGAAACCACGAGCTACAAACTTGACTGCTCTCAATTTTCTCCCCGAAAAAAAGAAATGGCCAAAGGGAACGACTACAGTAAAGACGACATGGCACGACTGCAAGAGGAATTCAGAGAAGAAGTTGAGATAAGGTGAGTTTAACCCTTTAAAAGCTTAAATAAAATGTTAGGTTGAGGAAAAGGTGGAATCTACATCCTGATTCTGTTTGCAGAGAGATGCTCATAGACTCTGTTTCTGACCTGCGATATACTGTTGCTGAAATGCAAGCAAGGTTGCACAATGTTGATGGGGAAGGTAAGAATATTATACACAAAGCTTCAGAAATTATTGTGTAAACATTCAACTATTTTGTGCCTTTTCCAGAAAGTAAAAATTCCTGTCATATAGATTAGCCTACACATATACTGAAATAATTATACATATTTAAATTTTTTTCTGTATGGATGATGAATGCTTAAAATTCTGGGGTTTTACATGTTTAAAATATATTTTGGAGAAACATGGTGTTAACCACTTTTAGTTAATACAATTTAAACATGTACAAACTATTAAGCCTCTAAAATGTATATGTTTTCTTAGTCTGGATTATAGGAGACACCGGAAAAGATCGGTTTGGCAGTTGTAAGGAAGATAGTTGTGCTCTGCAAAGGGAGCAATGCAGAAAAGGTCATTGCTACAGCTGTTTGTTCACATGCTGTATACTAGCATCTTCGGAGAAAGTTTGGTGGAAGGAAAACCTGCTTGGCAATGGTCAAACTAGAGTAAAGGCAGTTTTGAGAAGATTATCAAGCAAAGACTCACTAAAAATGTTTGAATTCTGTCCAATGGCCACAAATGTTGAATTCCTTGTGACTCCTTTTGCTCCTGAATCAGAGGCCAGCTGTTGATTTGTGGCCTCTTTTCAGATGAAGGTGAAATTTGCATTTTAGAAATCAATGGCCTAGAAGGCTGTTTTATAGTCAGTGATGATTTTAAGGCGATTTCATGTGTCCACTGTAAATACAGGGCTGAATGTAAAAATTTCTCTGATCTACTATGTTCTCACTGGATCTCCTGCTTTTAGCTCCAGCCAAGCCTCTTGCCTGCATTCAGCTCTCTAATTGCGGCTGCTGGCAGAACCGTTGGGCTCACAGGTGTGGGCTCATGGGACCTAAGTGCCATAACCACTAAGGTTGGAACCCTCAAAGTTGGACCTTAGGTGCTCTCGTCTGCCCTTCTCGGGTGAATGAGACATTTTCTATGCCTGCCCTCCCTGTGTTTAAATCAGTCAACCTATTGATGTCGCCTCTATGTGTCTGACACAGTGCATCCCAGTCTGTGGCTTAATTTTTTAGCTTTCTGGGACCACCCTCTTAAGGCAGCCACATGCTCTTGTTCTTAAGGTTGCAAAGTGAAAAAAAGAAATTGTTTTTCTTCATAGTATTTATAATCCATGAGAAGTCTGGTTGGAACAGTCTGCCCCTAAATAGCTTATCACCAAAGATTAATTAAGAGTTTGAAACAGAGGGGGTCACAGAGAGCAGGGCAAGCATAGAGCAGGAAGAGAGCTACAATTAGAGGAGCAGACAGAAAGAAAAGACTCATAATGTAATTTAACAGTTATAATTGGCTTTCACCACCAAATGTAAGCAAAAAGCACAGCTTTTTTTTTTACATTTTGGCATCCAATAACTGTTTTTATGAATTTCACAGTTATTGCTGCCATCTAGCAGGAAATGTTGGAGCTTAATGCTTTTTTTCTGTTGACAAGTTGTGTGGCTATAATAATTTAATTTTCAAGCAAGACTTTGCATCTGCCCACTGCTAAAGGTACTAAAAGTTAGTTCAGTGACAATGGTTCTAATTTACTGGATTGGAGAGCAAAACTGAACTTTATAGAGAATCTATGGGCTATTTGGAAATAGAAGATAAGAGACACCATACCAAGCAACACAGAAGAGGTTCCAATTAAACCTTAGCAGTGCCAGTAATAAAACGTATCCAGAAACCTGACAATTCTGTTTTTTTTTATTCAAATTTTCTAAATGTCTTACTGGGGTTTTATGCATACTAATGGCATTTGACACCACAAGTTTAACTTTTTTTTTTCTTTTAGGAGAGTCTAATTTTCTTAGACAATTAGTATATCTGTAAGCCAAAATAACCAAGATCCAAATAATTAAGGCCTAATATCTTTAAATCTATGTAATGAATCTATATGATATATAATTAGAATTTTCTTAAAGAACATACTAAAATATTTCCCTTTTTTTTCAAATCAATATTTCAATATACTTGTACAATTGGATGTGTTTGCTTATTTCTTAGATTGGCTTGTTTTTGTTTTTTGCTGTGTTTTTAGAAAACGAGTGGAAGACAAGGTTTGAGACACAGGTAGAGTTAAATGGACAGCTGGAGAAGCAGATTACACATGTTCAGCAGAGACTGGAGAGCATCAAAGGAAACCCTGTTGGTGAGCCATTGCTTTCTTTTAATACAATGAGCCTTCTTTTATTTCATGGTACTTTTAAATAAGATTTTAAACTTTATTATATTTCTCAAATTAAAAGTTTCCTGTGACTTTGCAGGCTATTATATGGCCATTATTTTATATTTTTACATAAAAAGTTTCTGAATTAGTGTTATTTAATATGTAGATTTTCCAAGACATTAAACTTTGATAAGTCATTATCAGTGAGCCACAATTATAGAAATTGCATAAAATAAAAACTTGAAATATTTCCTGTTAAATTGTAGCTTAAAGGTTTCCCTGTTTGAAAAACAATGATAAAAAAATGAGATGTAGCTCCTGTATTTAAGCTAGCTGCCTTCTTTATATATCCGAACGTAAAACATTGTTTCCATTGCCTCCTTTGTTCCTGAAAATGTTGTGTATTGATCTAATCAAAATGCTCCCTCTTGTCCTTTTTGTCTCAGATCGGTTGGCTTTCATCCGCTCATATGAAGGCATGACAGTTGTGAGTGATTTCATGCAAATTTCTTAAATATTTTTCAGGACATCTTGAAATTATTATTTCCAAAAGTATTTTTCCAATCTACTTTTACATGTTGATGAGCTTTATTGACTTTCCGTTTTTAATCTCAAGGATACATGCAACCATTTTCCAGCTAATAGCAGCTTTCATAGTATATTGTAAAATGCACTATATTTATAATACCCAATAAATTGGGATCATTTAGAGCATATT